GTTGCAGACTACTTTTTTTTTTGGACCTGCTGTGCTGCATGTGGAATCAGTCCTCTGATTAGGGGTTGAACCCACATCCCCCACCTTGGAAGTGTGGAGTCTTTTTTTTTTTAATTTATTTATTTTAATTGGAGGCTAATTACTTAACAATATTGTAGTGGTTTTTTCCATTCATTGACATGAATCCACCATGGGTGTACATGTGTCCCCATCCTGAACCCCCTCCCACCTCCCTCCCCACCCCCATCCCTCTGGGTCATCCCAGTGCACCGGCCCTGAGCGCCATGTCTCATGCATCCAACCTGGACTGGCGATCTGTTTCACATATGGTAATATACATGTTTCAGTGCTGTTCTCTCAGATCATCCCACCCTCATCTTCTCCCACAGAGTCTAAAAGTCTGTTCTTTACATCTGTGTTTGTTTTCTATCTTGCATATAGGGTCATCGTTACCATCTTTCTAAATTCCATATATATGCGTTAGTATACTGTATTGGTGTTTTTCTTTCTGACTTACTTCACTCTGTATAATAGGCTCCAGTTTCATCCATCTCATTAGAACTGATTCAAACGTATTCTTTTTAATAGCTGAGTAATATTCCATAGTGTATATGTACCACAGCTTCCTTATCCATTCATCTGCTGATGGGCATCTAGGTTGCTTCCATGTCCTGGCTATCATAAACAGTGCTGTGATGAACAATGGGGTACATGTGCCTCTTTCAATTCTGGTTTCCTCAGTGTGTATGCCCAGCAGTGGGATTGCTGGGTCATATGGCAGTTCTATTTCCAGTTTTTTAAGGAATCTGGAAGTGTGGAGTCTTAACCATTGAACTACCAGGGAAATCCCTGTTCATTATTGTTTAAGTAGCTCAGGTCTTTGGTAATTAGTTACTCAGCAATAGTTAACTAATCCAGTGTACATTTAACTACCCCCCCTCTATTTCCTGTAAACTGTAGGGTAAGTTTAGAGGGTTGATGAGGTTTAGGTTAAACATTTTTGGCAAGAGTCTTCATAGGTTGTTTGAAGAACTCCATGTTGTAGGACAGCGGGGGGAACATAATGGTAGATGCCCCATGGTGAGTCATTTTAAGTTTAATCACTTGTTTCCTTTACTAAATATCTTGTACCATGTGGTACAAGTAAGCGTGAACTGGGTGGGCTATGGTCCACAGGGTCGCAAAGAGTTGGGCATGACTGAAGCAACGTAGCAGCAGCAGCATTATATTGACTTGATCTTTACCTCGAATTGTCTTAATTTGTGGGGACACAGTAAGTCATAAAGATGTCGCTCAGTCATGTCCAACTCTTTGTGACCCCATGGGCTGTAAGCAGCCAGGCTCCTCTGTCCATGGAATTCTCCAGGCAAGAATACTGGAGTGGGTAGCCATTCCCTTCTTCAGGGGATATTCTTGACCCAAGGATCGAACCTGGATCTCCTACATTGCAGGCAGATTCTTTACCATCTGAGCCACCAGGGAAGCCCATAGTAAGTCATAGTAGTTATTTAGTAAACTATTATATATTTAATAAAAGTGAATGCTAAAGAAATGTTAATTAACCCCCCAAATTACTAGAATAAACACTTCAGATAAAATTAACTATCATAAACTACAGTTTCACATTTCTGCTGATAAAGTAGTTTTGAAATAAATAGCATTACAGTTAATGAATCTAAGTAAAGAAACATTTACAACGGCTCAACTCATAATTGCCCCAAGCTGGTAACAACACAAATACCTTTCAATGAGTGAACAGATAAACAAACAACGGTAGTTTTTTACTTGGGAATACTACTCATAAAAAGGAACATATTGTTTACACATCTTGCAAAGGGTTCCTGGACCCAGTCTGAATGTGTGTGTGCACGTCTGTGTGTGGATGCCTCCCCATATCAACGAGCAATTCCATAGGTAAAGGGCTGTCCCACCAGACCACTCTCCACCTCAGACTCCAGTGGAAACCTGTGCTTCTGATCAACTGGCTACAAACTGGAGGTTCCAATGACCTTTCCAATTTAGGATGCCAATTCCAAGTCCAGGTTGTATCCTGTACCTCTGAACAACTGACTATAAATCAGAGGTTCCTGTGACTCCTTCCTTGGCTTCCATTCATTTTCTAGAGCAGCTCACAGGACTCAGCGAAACCCACTTACTCACAAAATTACTGGCGTATTAGGAATCAACAGTCAGAAGAAGAGATACACAGGGCAAGGCACGGAGGCAGGCAATGAACTTCCACGCTCCAGGCACTCTCTCCAAGCCCCACGCTTCGACCAAACCCAATCCCCTGACTCCTGTCCTTTCGGATTTATATAGAGGCTTCATTCCATATGAATAGGTGAAAGAAGCCAGTCTCAAAAAGTTACACAGAACATGATCCCACGCTATTCATTCTGGAAAGGCAAGACCATAGGAAGAGAGAACAAGTCAGTGGTTGCCAGAGGCTGGGGCCTGGGAGAGGGTTTGACCATGAGACGGCACCCAAGAGGATTTTCTGCGGTGTTGGAAATGTTTTCTATCCTGATTGTGGTGGATACACATGTCTATACATATGATACAATGTATGCAGCTGTGTACCAAAAGCAAATGTGCATTTTACAGGATGTACACTTAAAATAATTGAAAATGTATAAGGAGACAAATGTAAAAATAGCAATAATTCCTTACCTGGATATTTTTCTGTAAGTATTTGTTGCCCAGTATTCTGACAAACAATTGAATAAATCCTGTTAACAAAGTCCTTAATTTCAAGAGAATCCCATGAGAGGAGTATTATCATCATGTTTCTTTTTCAATGAAATAGCAAAGAGGTCCTTCCTGAAATCCTGAAACAGGGGAAGCAGTCTTCACTTATAGCCCTTAAACTATAACTTGTTTAATAAGTAACATTCTCTAACCTGTCTTAACTGACATAGCTCGCTTTAACTCTTTTTATAAATTGTGCTTCCCCCAAGCTCCATGTAGCTTATGACAACATGTCACAAGATCGCTCTAACACTCCCTTTGGATGATAACTCTGACCCATGGTGTCACTATGGTAATGGGCACTTAAGTTGTTTCTCAGGAATTGGATAGCTCTCCAAATTTGAATGAGTTAAGGCTGGTTGTGACCACTAACCCTCCAATTGAGCCTTCGAGTCAAAAGCATGAATTTTAAGGTCAGAGAGCCAAGAACTCCACCCTTAGATTAGGCTAACACTGACATATCCTGGACATGCATCCTATAAAGAAGTACGTTAAGTCAGTCACGCCTTCGTAGAGCACCAATTACGTCACCTTTTTCTTGCCTGCAATCATCTCTCCCCACACCTCAGGCCAGCCTCATTTATCCCATAAAATCCCCAGCCCTTCACCTCTGGGGGGAGCAGATTTAAGACTTGTTCTCCACTCTCCTCGCTTGACTGCCTCGTGAGTAAAGTGTTTCTCTGCTGCAAACTCCCGCCTCTCAGCATCTGGCATGTTGTGTATCTATCTGGCCAATGAACCAGGTATTGGGAGATGCATTTTAATTTAAATTCCTGCAAGTGAGAAAGGTCACTGTGTCAGGGTGAAGGTGCAGTATCTACCAGCGTGGTGTCAGCGTGGAAAGAGGGCAGAAAGAGACAGCCCAGTTCTGCGCATTCAAAGTCAGGTGCCAGGAGGGCAGGCTCCAAATCCTTCGAGTTGGAAGCCAGCAGAACACTGACCGGGCCATCATGGAACCCATTTACCAATTTCCTTTTCTTTCTCCCTAACTATTCCCTGGTGGCTCAGATGGTAAGAGACTCTACCTGCAATGCAGAAGATCCAGATTTGATCCCTGGGTTGGGAAGAGCCCCTGAAGAAGGAAATGGCAAACTACTCCAGTAGCCTTGCCTGGGAAACCCCATGGACAGAGGAGCCTGGCGGGCTACAGTCTGTGGGATCTCAAAGGGTTGGACATGACTGAGGGACTAACACTTTCACTACAACAATTAATAGCTCTTAGTCTGAATAATAAATCTTAATTTTTTTAATGAATAAATATTATTATATTTTGGCATTCAAACCGGAAGGCACAGACCTTCTTGAATGACTCCGCTTGCTAACTTTCTTTATTTCAAAGGTGAAAACGCTACTTTACCTTACAGGAAAGCAGGGAAGTGTTTTTAGGATTGAGGTCCATTTTTATAGAAAAGGACCACATCTTGCCACCATTTAGTATCCTAGTTGTACTTGTTATCTCCTGTGTGTAACAAACATCCCTGAAATGTAATGGCTTAAAGCAACAAGGTATTGTTTGTCACATTTCTGCTGGTCTCCCTGGGTCAGACTGCTGCTGGAGATGCTGAGGCTGGAGTCACAGCTGGCCTGGGATCCCAGGACCTTGTTTGGGCTGCGGGATGGGCTTCTCTCTCCACATGGTCTCTGGCTGTTCCACGACACTGAACACGAAATTTACAATCCCTCTGAAGGCCTAGCTCCGACATTGCACAAAGTCACTTCTGCTGCATTCTTTTGGCCAGAGTAAACCAGGAGATCCATCCAGAGTCAAAGAGGTGGAGAAAGAGGTCTCCTCTCTTGATTTAGGGAAGAGCAGCAACATCATGCTGCAAAGGAGGGAGGACCCAGGACCCCTTCTGTGGGCCCATGAGTGTCACAGTGCACCACACTGTTGGAAATAACGTTTAAAGCTCATGTAAACATGAATTAAATTAGCTCTCAGCTCTGAAACTGTAACCTGGATGAAATCAGACTAAAGATCTATTTTGGATTAGAAGCTTGCATTCAGTCCAGCTTTGATGCAGTTAATCCTTATTTAAAACTATCAGAAACCACTCATAGAAGAGCCAGAGAAATCTGACCCTGCAATTTTTATGGAGTGTTTAACCATCAACTGAGAGAAAAGTAATGTGAATCCATCAGCTATTTTTAAATGTACTATTATTATCTAATTGTGTGTCAACTCCCTTAGGTTTCCTGATGTCTAAACATTTCACAATGTTGTAGAATAATGATGAGATCCCATTCCCAAGAGGATGCGGGCAAAGCTGAACATAAAAGTGAACTGGGACTGTGATGCTGGAAGGTCCCTGGAGCTGAAGGTACAGAGAAGGTTGGGATAATCTTTGTGCCCACTGCTCAGACTTGGCCCTCTCATCACTGTGGGCTGCCAAAGCTTGTCACAATCTGGCCCTAAGGAGGAACGCTTCGGTGAGGACCAGGGCTATGCCAACATCTGACCACTTCTACAGTCTGGGCTTCCCAGGTGGTGCTAGTGATAAGGAATATGCCGGCCAATCCGGAGATGTAAGAGATGCAGGTTCGATCCCTGGGTTGGGAAGATGCCCTGGAGAAGAGAATGACAACCCACTCCAGTAATCTTGCCTGGTGAATCTCATGGATAGGGGAGCCTGGCAGGCTACAGTACTTGCAAAGAATTGGACACGACTGAAGCGAACTATAACAAATTAGTGCTTTGGAATTAGTTTGGGCTGATTCCAAAAATTCCCTGGGAAGAAAGCACCGTGCAAAACTATTGAAGTTGGGAACTGCCCCCACAGCTGCCCCGTTACTCACCCTCACCAAGTTCATCACGCTCCCCTCCTCCACTATAAAGCCTTTGCACTAGCAGTCTTCTCTGACCTCAAAGTTGACCCCCAAGGGTAGGTAATGAAGCGTGCCTCGAACCTTAGCAAGAGCTTCGGCACCCTGGAAGTGCTTTGCCTTGCTCCTCTGTTGCCTCCAGCCCAGGTTTTTCTGCCTTCATCCATCCTTAGGGGATGTTCTTTCCTCTGACCCCTTGAGTCAGGGGTCCTTTCTGCAGCTCCCTGGCCTGTGCTTGAACCTTAGTGCTGGAGAAGAAATGACAGTGCCCTGGGAACAGGAGCTGCAGAGATCCTGGGCAGCTGGACTTCTGAGTGCTTGCAGAAAAACAGGGGAGCAGAGAGGAGAGGCACAGAGACAGACGAACGCAAAAAGAAGGAAGAAAAAGCGTGCTTCTGCAGATGAATATTTTTTTTCACATTTCTGCTATCCAAAGGTGACCCTTAAATAGCTGTTCAGTAGGAGCCTGGAGGGGTTTGCAAATGTGGGGCTGGGCGTGGGTTCGGGGTGTTTTGTGCCCCACGTAATGGGCACTCCCGCCCCCTCGACGCAGATGGATAGTGAAGACTTTGTCCCAAACCAGAAGAATCTGAGTTTTCATCCAAAGCTGTTTTCTTATTGTAGCTCAACTGGAAGACACAAACGTGTGCATGTGTGCTCAGTCGTGTCCGACTCCTTGCACCCCATGGACTGTAGCCCACCAGGCTCCTTTGAAGTGGAATTTTCCAGGCAAGAATACTGGAGTGGGTTGCCGTCTCCTCCTCCAGGGATCCTCCCAAACCAGCGATCGAACCTGCGTCTCTTGTGTCTTCTGCTCTGGCAGGCAGGTTCTTTGCCACTAGCACCACCTGGACCATATGTGCCCTGGGTGCTGCCAATGTCACAGCCGTTCTTTCTCCCTGGGAAATAAACGACTAAACCTTTATGACTTCAGGTGGCTCTCCGTCCCCCCCAGCCGTGCCGGTCCCCATCTGCCTCCTCCTCACTTTCCCCACCCTCCCTCCCGGGTCTTTGCCCCCATGTTTTCCTGCCCTCTCTCCTGATGGCAAGCCCCCTGCCCTCTTCTCCTCCCAAGGCTGGGCTCCAGGTCACGGGCTGACCACCCCGTCCAGCTCCAAGTCCTGGAGTGGCTCCCGGGACCTAAAGATCCAAGTTCAAACTCCCTAGGGCAGCATCCGACTCAGGTCTCAGTCTGCCCCCCGGGACTATCTCCCCCTCCTCACCCCCTGGCCCATCTCCCCCACTCCAGTCCTCCTTTTCCCACGGCCAAGTGCATCAGGCGCTCTCCCACGGCTGGGCTTTCACCCATGCTGAGCTCCTGCCCTGCTGCAAAGTCTCCTGGAGGTGGAGGCAAATATTATTTCAGCTTTCAGCTTGATTTCCCCACGCCCTTACCAGAACCCCCTCTCCAACTAGCCACTGCTGGGCGTTCCTGTGGATTTCTGCCCTCTGTGTGTAAAAGGGTGACAGCTGAGAGTTGGGGTGTTTGCCTCCCTCCCCAACAGCAGGAGAAGGATGCTCATACTGGACAGTGTCTCCCCTGACCTGAGTCTTATGCCTCTTAGTCTAGTGAGTTATTCCTCTCGTAGGTCCCCGTAGAGTAGGCTTTCTGTATAGGAGGCTCTCTGTCAACACCTGGGAGGTCATTTATTCTGTGCTGTTGCAGGTCTATTCATCTGCTTTTTGACCTTGCCCCACCTTCCCTAGATATCTAGAATTAGGTCTTTGATGGTTCCTTGAAATGTCAGAGTTACCATAGAGCCCAGCAATTCCACTCCTGGGAATATAGGCAAGAGAACTGAAAACACATGTCCACACAAAAATGTATACATAAATGTTTTTTATAACAGCATCATTCATAATATCCCCAAAGTGGGAACTATCCAAATGTGTATCAGCTAATGAATGGAGAAATAAAAGGTTCTGTATCCATACAGTGGAATATTCCATGTGTGTTAGTCGCTCAGTCGTGTCCAACTCTTTGTGACCCCATGGGCTGCAACCCTCTAGGTTCCTCTGTCCATGGGATTCTCCAGGCCAGAAAACTGGAGTGGGTTGCCATTCCCTTTTCCAGGGGATCTTCCTGACCCAGGGATCGAACGCTGGTCTCCTGCACTGCAGGCAGATTCTTCACCACCTGAGTTACCAGGGAAGATGATTTGGTGATAGGAGGAAGGAAGTGCTGTTCCATGCTACAGCATCAATGGACCTTGATACCACTGTCTTCAGTGACAGAAGGCAGCCATGAAAGATCACGTGTTATATGATCTCCTTTAAATAAAAGGTCCAGGAGGAGAAGGGGACAACGGAGGATGAGACGGTTGGATGGCATCACTGACTCAATGGACATGAGTTTGAGCAAACTCCAAGAGATGGTGAAGGACAGGGAAGCCTGGCATGCTGCAGTCCATGGGGTCGCAGAGAGTTGGACACAACAGAGACTGAATAACAAGTCAAATCTATAGACCCAGAAAGTAGACTAGAGGTTGCAGGGGCTAGTGGGCGAAAGGAGGAATGGAAAGCCACTGCTAGTGGGTATCGATTTCTTTTCATGGGAAGGAAAATCCTATAAAATTGATGGTGATGGTGAGGGCACAACTCTGTGAAGGTATAAAACGCTGAAGCGGACACTTGGGTGGATGAATGGCATGGTTATGTGAGTTATGTCTCAGGAAAGAGGTTAAACATAATTGTCCTCTGAGCACTGAACATGGGTATTCTGGTCCTTGGAGGGATGTACATGGTCTAACAGTTCTCAGTACAAGAAAATCGCCTTAGAAACAGCCTCCTGCTCTTGGTCACCTTTTCTGCAAGGCTCCCTTTTCCTTTTCCTCTCTTCCCCGCCATGGGGTGGGCTGGGGTAGGGTGGGGTTGGGGGCGGCAGAGGGTGGGTGAGGAGCCTCTAGCCGTGTCCCCTGGGGGGGCTGGATGCCCGCTACAGGGGGCCCTCTCCCCCCTGCCAAGCCCCAAGGGCTGCGGACAGCGGGAAAGGGGGACAGCGACGCTAACGAAGGCGTTTGACCCCAGGCGCCATCCCAGCCGTCCCGGGAAACTCCCGGAACCAACCGTAACCGGACCCTCAGTCCAGAAGGGGCTTCTCGAGGGCGCAGGTTGCGGCGGCAACCCCTGGATCGGGTCCCTCCGGGGTGTCTGCCGAGAGGAGAAAGGAGACCCGTGGACGCCTTGGGGCCAAGGGAGGTGGTGTCCTCGGGTGAGCGCGATGCCCCCCGAGGGCCTCCCGGGAGTGGGGGAGGGTCGCAGGGAAAGGGGCGCCGAGTCAGCGGAACCCTCCCGTCTCTCCCAGACGAACCGGCTCAAATCAAAGGGGCGACCGGGGGCGGGAGGTTCACGGAAAGACAATGTTTGTTTGAGGGAGAAAAGCAAACAGCAGCATCCGGAGCACTGCGGAAGGGGGGTAGCGGAGAAAGCAGCAGCGAGGCGGACGGGAGCTACAGTGGGGGGGCTGTTGGGGGCCCGGGATGACGTGGGGCCCCAGCCGGGCCGGGTGGGCCCAGGAGAGCCAGCGGAGGGATTGCATAGAGACAGCAGTGTAGACGCGTGTAGACGCCTTGTGCACGGAGGGCGCTGGGACAGGTTAAACTCCACGCTGCGCTCGCAACGCAGCCACTCAGATAGAAACCCAGTCTCAGGCGCCCCTCGGGGTCCTGAGTTTGCTTCTAAAATGCTCCCCAGACGTGAATCTGAGACAGGAGAAGAGGCGGCCACTGGGGAGCTGGGGGTTGAAAGGAGAGCCTCTAGGGGTCTGGGGTATTTCAGCCCAGCGGTGACCCTGAGGCTTTGCCTCTGAGGCCAGATTGGGACTCTTTGTCACAAGTTGCTGTCTCTGCTGCCAAAGTGGCTGGACGCTTCAGGAGCTGGTGGCAGATTTATCAAGACTTGAGGAAGGAGCGAGAGGGCAGCAGTCTCTTTGGTCTTTCTTTCTTATAACTGTTTTTCAGTTCAGTCGCTCAGTCGTGTCCGACTCTTTGCGACCCCATGAACCGCAGCACGCCAGGCCTCCCTGTTGATCACCAACTCCCAGAGTCCATCCAAAGCCATGTCCATTGTGTCGGTGATGCCATCCAACCATCTCATCCTCTATCGTCCCCTTCTCCTCCTGCCCTCAATCGTTCCCAGCATTAGGGTCTTTTCAAATGAGTCAGCTCTCCACATCAGGTGGCCAAAGTATTGGAGTTTCAGCTTCAACATCAGTCCTTCCAATGAATATTCAGGACTGATTTCCTTTAGGATGGACTGGTTGGATCTCCTTGCAGTCCAAGGGACTCTCAAGAGTATTCTGCAACACCATAGTTCAAAAGCATCAATTCTTCTGCGCTCAGCTTTCTTTATGGTCCAACTCTCACATCCATACATGACTACTGGAAAAATCATAGCCTTGATTAGACAGACCTTTGTTGGCAAAGTAATGTCTCTGCTTTTTAATATGCTGTCTAGGTTGGTCATAACTTTCCTTCCAAGGAGCAAGTGTCCTTTAATTTCATGGCTGCAATCACCATCTACAGTGATTTTGGAGCCCAGAAAAATAAAGTCAGCCACTGTTTCCACTGTTTCCCTATCTATTTGCCATGAAGTGATAGGACTGGATGACATGATCTTAGTTTTCTGAATGTTGAGCTTTAAGCCAACTTTTTCACTCTCCTCTTTCACTTTCATCAAGAGGCTCTTTACTTCTTCACTTCCAGCCGTAAGGATGGTGTCATCTGCATATCTGAGGTTATTGATATTTCTTCCAGCAATCTTGATTCCAGCTTGTGCTTCTTCTCGCCCAGCGTTTCTCATGATGTACTCTGCATGTAAGTTAAATAAGCAGGGTGACAATATACAGCCTTGACATTATCACCACAATAATTTGTGTTCAGTATTTATTAATAGCAATACATAAAATACAGGGAATAGAATAATGGGCCTCCAAAGATGCCCACTGACAACCTGTACATTTGCTAGAGGTCCTACCAACCCTAGCCCACCCCCAACCCCTCTGGCAAACTAAAACCAAAGAGACTTTGCAGATGTGATTAATTAAGAATCTTGAGATGGGTGATTACCCTGGACCATCCAGGGACTTGCCTGGCAGTCCAGTGGTTAAGTCCTTGCAATTCCAGTGCAGGAGGCAAGGGTTCAATCCTGATCAGGGAAGTGAGATCCTACATCAGTCACCTATAGTCCACCTCCTAGAACGAACTCATGATTTTAACATCTGTAGCTCAGCAGTCAACTGAGGACCAGAAATGTGAGAAGTCATCTGTAAAAGCTAAGTGTTATATAGATAATGCTGGCATCTTCCATTCTACCCACTAAGAGGGACTTGATGCTTACCTAGTGCCCAAATCTGGTGGTTCCGAATACTGTGCTCCATTAAAAGGAATCAGAACTCCATAGAGAAATGGCCAGTTTCAAGGTTCAGGCAGAAAAGATACATGATGTGCCCCCCCAAGTATTATTCTTCCAGACAGTGAGGAAGTGCTCAAAGGATCTGACGAAGGTATTAGAAGGACAAAAGCTTGGACAGCTCCCATTGGAAAATCTGAGATAGTGATATTATTAAATTATAACTATTTTTCCTTGATTCTATTTTAAGCATAACCCAAAGTAAGAATCCACACGTGCAGACGAATATAATCATGTAAATAAAAAACTAAATACATAGGGAGAAGGGAAAGTGCTTCCTTATGGTAGAATGTTGACTAATGAAGGGATAATAGGATTAGACAATACTATTTGGAGCTACCATAGTAACAATCCCGTCAGGAAGAATCATTAATGTATGCTAAAACAGGAGGTGAAAATTTAATGAGAAACAGGATTTGTAGATGGTCTCAAGTTCTTTCACCCCAGGATACTACAAGAGGGAAAACTGTAACTTCATGGTGGAGAAACCTGGCTGCCATCTTAACCGAGTGACCAACGTTAATACAACCAGTAATGAGACAAACTGCCGACAGGTGGCTCTGATGTGATTGCAACACAAGGACCCAACGTGCCTGAAGTGCACAACCTGAATTTCATTGTGAGGAAACACCAAACAAATCAGATGGAGAGACGTCTTACAAAACAACTGGCCTGCACCCTCCAAAAGTATCTGCACCATAAACAACAAAGAAAGACTAAGCAATTGTTCCTAATTCAAGGGGACTAAAGAGGCATGACAACTGAATGCAGTAAGAATTCTGGATTGAACCCCGGACCAGCAAAAAACATTTTTTCATCTTTTCCTTATCAAGGACATTAGTCATGCCACAGCACGGATGACCTTGAGGACGTTATGCTTAATGAAATAATCCAGCCAAAAAATGACAAGTATTGTGTGATTTCACTTCTATGAAGTATTTACTTAGAAGAGTCAGATTCATAGAGGCAGCATAGACAGTGGTTACCAGGGGCGGTGGGAAGGTGTGTGTGAAGGGGGAAGGAATGGGGAGTCATGGTTCATTCAGTAGAGAATTTCAGTTTAGGATGACGCGCAAGTACTAGAAATGGATTGGTGGTGTTGTTCTTTCGTGTCTGACTCTTTGAGACCCCATGGACTGCAGCATGCCAGGCCTCCCTGTCCATCACCATCTCCCAAAGTTTCCTTAAATTCACATCCATCGAGTCGGTGGTGCCATCCAACCATCTCATCCTCTGTTGCCTCCTTCTCCTCCTGCCTTTGATCTTTCCCAACATCAGAGTCTTTTCCAATGAGTCAGTTTTCACACCAAGTGGTCAAAGTATTGGACACCTGAGAAGTGTCTAATACTGAAGTGTCTCACTGTTGGACACAGTGAGAAGACAGCAGTCTGTGAAACAGAAAGCAGGTTCCCCAGTTCCTTGGTCAGTGACTTCCAGCTTCTAGATCTATGAGAAGTAGATTTCTGTTTCTAGCCACCCAGCCAGCCTGTGGTATTTTTACTTTTATTGTAGCATTCCAAATGGACTAAGACAGCGGTGATGGTTGCATAACATCAGAAATGTACTTAATGCCACAGATTGTACACTTAAAAATGACTAAAATGGTAAAATTTAATGTTATATATATTTTACCATAATAAAAATAATTTTTTAAAATGGCAACTTAGTAAAAGGATATTCTTAATGGCAACATGTGCATAACATCTGTAGATTATACAACGGTGTACCAATGTTAATTTTTTCTTTTTGATAAGTGTTCTATGGTTATGTATAAAGTGTCCTTTAAAAAAATAGAAAAAGGAAACATGTAGTGAAGTATTTAGGGGTAAAGAGGCAACATGTCTACAATCTGCTTTCAGATGGCTTATATTATATGTATTAAAAAAGTATATATTCAATGTATACACTTATGTACAAATTATCCATGTCTGGATAGAGAGAATGGCATAGCCGAGGTTAACATTTGGAGAACGTGGGTGTAATATATATGAGAATTTGTGCAATTAACAAGACTTCTCTGTAAAGTCTAAAATTATTCCAAAATAAGTTGGTTTTTAAATTAGAAGAGGGAAATAATTGGAAAGAAATGAAACACCATCTAGGGGGAACACTTCTAATGTCTGCAGTCGAGATGCAGTGAGCTGTGTGGGGCCCCCTGTCCCTGGGATGCCCTAACTCTCAGGCTCAGAAATGACTGACAGATGGAGAAAGACAAATACTCATATGTGGAATCTTAAGAAAAAAAAAAAAACAAGCAAAATAAAACAATAACCAGCTCACAGATACAGAAATCAGATTAGCGGTAACCAGAGGGGAAGTGGGTTGGGAGTAAGCAAAATGGGTGAATGGGGTCAACTGTACAGTGACTGATGGTAACTAGTCTTATAATGGTGATCACTTTGTAGTGTATAGGGCTTCCCTTGCGGCTCAGCTGGTAAAGAATCTGCCTGCAGTGCAGGACACCTGGGTTCCATCCCTGGGTTGGGAAGATCCCCTAGAGAAGGGAAAGGCTATCCACTCCAGTGTTCTGACCTGGAGAATTCCATGGACTGTATAGCCCATGGGGACGCAAAGAGTCGGACTCGACTGAGCGATTTTCTCTTCACTGTAGAGTATAAAAATTATAAAATGTCTAGTTGCAATGCTGAAATATATAGTAATAATAACAGGCAGAATAAATGGATGGTGATGGAAATCCTACCCATGTGCGGGGCAGTGGGCATTGATTGGGAAGGCAGGAGTGAATTCTGAGCGGTCCTGGAAATGTTCTGTGTCTTGATCCGGGTGCCCAAGTTACAAGCTTCCAAGACGTTGCACTTAAGCTCTGCGCACTTTTTACCCTGTGCGTGGATGCTCCATTTGAAAAGGTTTAGACCGCCCCCATCCCCACCTCGACCAGCGCGCTGAGATTGCGTCCACGTAAACAAGGCATTCGCTCAGACTCGAAGGAGATTCGATTTACATTGTTTGTTATTTCGTTGCTAAGCAACACAGTCTAAACAGCACAACCCAGCGACGCCTACCTTTGACAACCAACCTAGGGGATGTCGCTAAGCCAAGGATACTAGAGTGCTCCGCACGAACAATCCCCACTCCCAGCCCCTTGGCGCTTGGTGGTAGGTGGCTGGGAGGAGGTGAGGATGGGGGTGGACCAGCTCGGTCGTCCCGGCGGAAGTGGGCTGCTGCAGTGAGCCGCCGTCCTGCCCGCCTGCTGCATCCATTGCTATGGCAACTGCTCGCTGGGTTCTGGGGCTAAAATGAGGCTCCGTGGGTGTCAGTCCGTGATTAGTGGTCTCACCTGCCTGCGGAATCGTGTGGCCTGAGGAGGCAATTGATGAGTCACTGCAGGAAAAGCCTGACGCTTCTTAGACTGAGTCACTCGTGCAGAAGAGGGACAGA